TGAATTGAAATTCTTTGACTCCAAGGACAATATTGGGCTCATTTCCCAAAAACTATTCAAAAGAAGCACCTAACAAAGATGTGCAAAGTTTGCTATAAACATAAAATACGAAGCGAAACAAAGTGGGAATGTATGAAATGTAAAGAAGCTCTATATTTGCCAGAGTGTTTTAAGAAATATCATACCATCGAGGATTTTTAGAGTTGTGTTTTCTTATTAGATATTAATGTAGGTGGAAATTTATTATAATTGAAATTTTTTTTACAATATGCTATTATTTATTTTTAGGCATGATACTATTACATTCGTTGGGACTAAACCATATTTGAAAATGCTTGGATTTTGATTGAAGTATTGTTTATTTATGAAGTATAATTTTGAAACTTTTATTTATTACAAAATATTATATGCTTATAATATCAGCAAAAGGCAGAAGGATTAAAGTTTACTTTCATGTGCCAGCAGTATTGCGCAAATCTGACTATCTGTTCTCAAGCATCAGTCTGGCTAGTTTACCAGACGTTGACTCGTAACACTTGGGTCAGGTTTCATCGAGGTAAATGGCATGGGAAGGGGTTAAAGTACTATCGCAAATTAAAGTTAGAATTGGAGTTTACATAGTTTTTATCTTACATGTGTATAAACTAAGACCTTGCGTAATGCTAATCCATTTAGCACTGTTTTGATTTAATGCGTTTTTAGTGGAATAGCAGATTCCCTGAAAATTGTATGCAGCATTGGGCCTTCCCAAAATCGAAAGAAATTTAACTGCATTACTTCTTTGTATTATTACATAACTGTATTTTTATTATTTCAAACATTTGTTGCTGTTATTGTAAATATATAATGTAATAATTGATGTGGTGATAAATATTATAATTTTTAGTCTTTAATATGGGTGATAAAAGAAATACAAAAATAAAGTGATAAAAAAAAAGCATTTCACGAATAACTAAAATGCAAGCATGTAGAAGATTAGATAGTGGTGAACGTCATTGTCAGATTGATGTTGCATTGAACTTGTCAACTTCAACAATAAGGACAACTTTTAAGAATAAAGAAAAATAGAGTCAGCAGCAACTACAACTACAAAAACCTCTGCAACTAGAATAACCTGTTTTATAAATAATACAATAGAGGAGATGGGAAAATGACTTTCTATATGGATTGATGATGAAATTGAATGCAATATGCTATTAAGCCAAGCTATTGGAGTGGAAAAAGCGAAAATTTTTAGTCACATTCAGATTGAAACAGGTGACACAACTGAAAATTTCATTGCAAGTCAAGGATGGTTTAGGAGATTTAATCATCGAAGTATAATCTTCATGACATACTGATTACAGGAGAAGCAGCAAGTGTAGATATAAAAGTGGTAGCTGAATTCCCAGCGATTATTGAGAACAATAATTGAACAAGAAAACTATCCTCCAGAATTAGTTTTTAATGCCGATGAAATGGGCCTATTTTGGAAAAGAATGCCAAAACATACATTTCCATCCCATGAAGAAAAACGTGCACCAGGCTTTAAAGCTGCAAAAGATTACTTAACACTTCTGAGTTCTAACACCAGTGGAGACTTCAAATTAAAGCCATTTCTTGTTTATCATTCCAAAAACTCAAGGTACAACAGATCTTGGTAACCAAGTTCAAGACCTAGTAGTAATTTTCTGATTTTAGTGTTTTCACTTTCAGAATAATTTTGTTTTTGTTTTTTAACATATTGTAGTTGGAGGGATAATAATAAGATTCTTAACTGAATTTAAAAGTGTAGATTCTACAGCTGTGGTTATTTGGTTCTATTGTCAGTTACGTTCAAAATACAAAATTCGGCCTCATGTTGCACAAACCAAATATTAGGATTGTTTTCCTGAAAAAGTGGGGATTTTGTTGCAGCATGGTGGTATCTGAGGAGTAGGATCTGTGTCTGGCATAATGAGCAAAACTGTTAGTAAAGCAGGAAAATAATAGGATTACAAAAATTTAATGTAAAAAACTTGAGCTTATTTTAAATAAGTTAGCTAAATGAAAAACATGTCATAATTCAAAATTGCCTGACCAATAAAATACACATATGATGTTATCACACAGTTCAGTGATAGAATTCGGCACAAAATTCATTTTCAAAAAGATTCAGCAGCACATGTGCAGGCAACTGAACTGTTTGTGTGTGTGCAAGCACTTACACAGAAACAGTAAAAAGTGTTGCAGAACAATGCCTGGCAGATAATCGGAAAGTTAGAAGTTTGCATGCAATTAACAGTTATTACACCACACTCTGCCTTCCTGAAATGTGTGTGCCATTCAAATACAGAGCTTCTTGATTATGTCTTGTTACCATACAGTTATTCCATCATTCCCATGTTGCTGTAAGTGTGTTCTCTAGCATAATAACGAACTTAACGGTGTTATAACTGTGCTTCAGATCTATACCCATCATGTAATTAAAATAGGTCCAATTATCTGTGTGTTGTATCTTGAACTGTGGGTTGTTAAAATGCAGTTCTCTTACCTTGTGAGTTCATAGAGTTGTGAAAGAGCTGCAGTTTGTCAAGGCAGGTATTCTACTGTGCATAGTTCTTCATCTGTTCCAAGGCATGTATTCTACTGTGCATAGTTCTTCATCTGTTCCAAGGCATGTATTCTACTGTGCATAGTTCTTCATCTGTTCTTCGGGAAGAAACTTGTACCAAATTTGCAAATCAGTGACGTAGCTAGGGTGGGGCAAGGGGGGACATCTGTTCCTGGGCACAGCATCCAGGCGCGTGCAATTGATGCTACGAAATTTTTTAATGAAATTTTTTCCATTCTTGGCACACAGAAAGGGGCGAAAATTCTTCAGTTGTCCCCGGGCCGGGCACTGGAATCCTAGCTACGCCACTGAAGGTGGATTGAGCTCAGAGCTAACATACTATGACATCCCAAATTTTCTCGGTAGTTTAATATCCGGTAAAATAGGAGAACAGAACATCAAATGAGAATTAATCCTGCTGGAAGAGTCCATTTTTGGCCAGAATGGCAGAAGCCATAAAATAATATACCTGATAGCAAAAATGATGCTCAAATATTCTGCACTATGTCATGGAATATTCTACAATAACATGCATCCCAGAAAAGCTCATTAGAACATCTCTTAAAGGATAATATATATATTATTCACTTATTTATATCCTGCTGTACACATGGGAATTACCTATTCACCTGGAAGATGGAGTAACCTGGCATGGCTCATCGAATTAATCTATAATATAGTATTGTGAGTCATCTGACCAGGAAATTCTTTTCCATTATTGCATAGTCTAATCATGATGTCTTCAGGCTTCTATAGCCATAAATATCAATGATGCTGAGTTAACTGAGCCGTATAAAAACGGCATGTACCACAGAGTCTCATATCCAACTGGATTTGACGAATTACGTACTTTGATGCGTTTACTTAAACCTGCATTGTGAGTTTTGAACTAAACAATGGTGCTCTTTCAGCAAGATTTAATCCAGCAACTCATGCAGAAATGAACATTTACATATGAATAACTTTGTAACATTGCATAAAAATGTTATGGTTGGCCTAACTTTTTATAAATGCAATCTTGGAGTGACTCTTTTTGTTAGCCACTAGCAGTTGCTTGTTTGTCTTTACCAAGTTTGACAATCTGAAATATCACCAATTGTTGATCAAGCATTGCATGCGTAACTTCTTGGCATCTATTATCAATTTCACGATTATTTAATTTTTCATTGGTATTTACAAAGACAGACTCATGATGATCAGTTCCATTTTGAAGACAGTCATTCCTAGCTTTTGGCCTTTGTCAAATTCACTTCAGCCTGTCCTGGTATATGCACTTTGTTGAATAAAAATGCCCATTTCCCTGGCAGCCATTTTAATCTTATTTGCCATCTATGTCACTTTAGTGAGAGCATATACATAACACATATTATTTGACCAAATTTGCATTTATTATAAAAATATAAAATGGAAGACAACGGTTTCATAATTTCTGTTATAATGATAGAAAGAAAAAGTTGAGAAAGGTTGAAATTATGTTTTTTTCTGTTTGCATGCATAATTTCTTTGAGACCATTGGCCAGAATTTCAAGAAATTTTGATGAACTGTATTATAAATAATTTATCTGTGTAAAATGGATGGCTGTTATGTTTCTCATATGAAAACATTAGAAATTATGTTTAATTTTTATGGTGGAAAATTAGTTGATATTTCATTTTTAAAATTAAAACATTTACTTTTTAATAAAATATTATTTGGTTATTTTTAAAATAGGTCCTTTTAATTATACATTAAATTTCTAATTTGAGAAAAAAATGTTAAAATATTGATTTGTTTATCCATAATGTGGTGCACAATGCATATTACAATTTTATATCGATGAACAAGACAGTATTTTACTTTTATTTATTTAAAATGTATTTGTATCTGAAGGATAAACTAAAGATGACAAGTGCAATTTTAAAAGATATCAAAATATATTATGTAAAATTTTATGATCATAGCATAGTTATAAGCTATTTGACGTGTAAGTTAAAAATTTTGATATGTTAGAAGTACTTGACTCTTAAACTTCATATCCATCTGGTCACATTACTCTTCTCCATGATGTTATCTTCATAAGTATCCTATATCCTTCTATGTATGCCTAATAGACTACATCCTTCTTTTGCCAGAAATTCTGTTATGACATGCTTGTAGTTCATATCCATTATTTACTTGCAATGTAGAAAATAGGCACTTGTGCAGAGAAAGAGTCCTCCAAGAGTAGAGTTTATGTAATCTATTTGCATTAATAAAAAGTTAGGCCAACTGTTGCATTATTTTATGCAAAGTTGTGGTACAGAGTTATTTGCATGTAAATGTTAATTTTTGCTTGAGCTGCTGAAATAAATCTTGCTGAAAGAGCATCGTTATTTGTAAATATAGTCATTATATTGTTATTTAAATTATTTATTTAAAAATCACAAATATATTTTAATTTTGTAACAGATTACCCTTGAGACTTCATTGGGACGCTTATCTAGGATTCTGGATAGAGGACACTTCGCATTAGTTGTACATAATCAAAGGCAGTGTAAGTGTGAATATTTTTTAATACATAAAACAATTTTTCATATAGTTATATCATTTTTTTCAAAAAAAATGAACATAAGTGTTTACATACTTATTTCATTAGCAATTTTTCATTTTCAAATTACATATTTGTTAATTTAATTTAAATATTTTACATATTTGTAAAATAATACATGAAGTTTGATTTACAGATATTCAATTATAACTTAACTTCTTTGCTCTAGCTGTCGTGCAAATGAAATTACTTTACGTGCCCATGACATTTGAGTTCTAAATCTCACTGTGTGCCCAAGTGCATTTTGCAGTTAAGCTCGACATGTGAAAATAATTACTATAAAACTTGCTTTTTATCTAAAGATTTGGATTCTTGCTTATGTTATTTCTTGTTACATAAATAGAAAGTCCTAATACTTAAAATAAAAATACAGAATTAGGTTAAACTTCAGATTTTAAGAATAATGATTATATTTCCATATTTAAATTATTTCTGTACAATAATGAAGTAAAAACATAATTTAAATATCAGTACTTATTATATCCTATTGCCATACTTACACTGAAAAGCCAAAACATTGTGAGCATCTAATCAATAACACATTGTGTGAACTTTAGCCATAAGTTCTAAATGGTTGGAGACAGGCTGTACCAAATGTTTCAGCAGCAATCTGAGTTAGGTGACCAGGACATTGATTAGAATTGTTCTTTATCCTCCTCAAACCACTCCAACACAAATTGAATCTTGGAACATGGGGCATTGTCCTGCTGGAAGATTCCATTTCCACTTGAGAAGACGGATACAATGTAAGGGTGCAATTGATTTGCAGTTACGTTTAGATAGTCTGCAGCATTCATGGTCCTTTTTACCACAACTAAGGCTCCCAGAGCTGCTCATGAGAAAATCCTCCAAAGCGCCAACACCAGCCTGTGTATGACCTGCTGTAGAGGAGTGAGCAACTGTTCGCCTTGGAAGACAGCATACCTGAGATGACCATCAACATGATGAATCTGAAATCATGATTCATCCGACCAGGCAACTGTTTACCACTTATCCATGGTCTGGTCTTGAAGTTCCCGTCCTCACTGTAGGCTTAGCTGAGAGTGATTCTTGGCCAAAACACGAGTGGGATATCTGATGTGCAGTCCCATATCCAACAGTGTCTGCTGAAATGTGTATTCTGAAACACTATTAGGCTGCCACTGTCTGATGCTGATTTTGCTGTATCAAGCGGGACAGTCTCCGACATCCTTTTTCTTAGATTACACATGGATGTCCAACACCTTGGCATCTACTGCTGATTTTGCTGTCATTTATCCACTTTGCATAAATATTAACAAGGCAGATCGTAAACAACCTATCATTCATCAAATTTTGGAGATGCTCATTCTGAGTCTTCGTGCCATTACAATCTACCCTCTATCAAATTCGCTTAGATCAGCAGCCTTTCCCCATCACTTGCAAAAGTAAGTGCAAGAATGGTTCCTTACCTTCTCCAGCAGCAGTTAAATACCATTCCCACTTAATCACGCACACTCCACGTCATCAAGAGGAGTTCATTGAAACATGTGAGGGCTGATCATAAAGTTTTGGCTCATTAGCATACATACAAAAATTTTAAACCACTTGCAGTCTGTGAAACATTTTAAAATTATGAACATTCATTTTTAACGTCGTGCATTTTACTATTGTTGAATAAAATAATAAATCATATGCATCACAACAATGCTAACGTTCTATTCAGTAATTTTTGCAGCATTTTTACATAATTTAGGCACATTTAAAATGTGAAGTAAAACATTCTATTTCAACATAGCAAATTCGATATGGTAGGCCTTCAGTGACATTTCGCTTCCATATCACATTTGATATGCTGACCCCATGGAAGGAAATTGAGCTGTATCATATATGACATGCTAAGAGCAAAGAGGTCAATTATGCATTTCTCTATATTTAGATAAAACGTGAACTATATTTTTAACCTGAAATGTGTATTTTAATATATATTATGCAAGATTCCAGAATCGGGATTTCTTAATCACTGAAATTAGCACATTATTTATTAAAATAATGAATGTAAATAAATTTAATGCATTATCCTAAACTATCATTTTTCATTTAAAGATTTAAAATAAAAATTGATGAAAAACTATCTCTAAACATTTTTAAAATCTTCTGTTTTGTAACAAGCTTCCTGCTCTAATACTCATTTCGGGGTTTGAATCCCAGAAAATCGACTGGCTGCATAGGCGTCTTCATGTTTTCCTTGATGTTTGACAATGTTTTGCTAGTTCATCTTTGGCCTTCAAATCTCAACACTTGGTTTGGAATCATAAATCAAACCCAGTTTCCATAAATCCCAAAACCAAAATCGACACTTATCATTTATTTTTTTTAACTGGCAAGATATACATACCAAAAAGTGTTTTCCCATTTCTCAACATCTAATTTTAAAGCACTGCCTAATTCTTTGACAACTTTTTAAGAAGTATTGTTCCACTTCTTAAGTGTATTCAACTAGCTGTTACATCACAAAAAATCAGCTTCTTCAAAGTGTTTAGCAAATTCATTTTGTGTGAAGTATTTGTCTAAATATAAGCAAGTGACAGCTTCTTTGAATTGTAAATCATTTCAGCAGTTCCTCTTCAGCATTCCTTTCTCAGTTTTTTCCCCTTGTCAGTTCTTCCTTGTCTTTCTTCCTGGCCAAATTTTTCCCATTAGCAGAAATTATTGAGTTCCGAATTTTCTATTAGTACCAACTGTAGATTTGAATAAACTGCAGCATTTCCATCAGATATCTATTTGGCTGCAGCGATTTCTAATTTTCGAATAATATTTACCTTATTCTCATTGCAGAACTATTTGTGTTACGACTCAGCATGGAGATTAATTTTGAACACATTATGATGCTTAATTTTGAACACATTATGAAAAAGCAGAGTGTTTAGTTAAAGATATACAGTCAAAAGTCGTTAATCCAGACTTGTCGGGACTTCGGCGATTCCGGATTATCAATTTTTCCGGATTATAGATCATCAGTTTAAATCTGGTAAAATGGCATGCAGAAATTATAAAATTAAAAATATGAAACCGTAATTTACGAAATAAAGAACAATTATGATCTAAAGGGTATCAAAATTTACAAAAAAAAAAAAAAAAAAAAAAAAGCTTAATATTTATTTGTTTACTTTATTAAACATTTCTTTCAATGTAAGTTGTTTAAGTTGCTTTGTTTTTATGTGATAATACATTCTCTTTAATTCTATAAACAGACATAATTTCTTGTTCAGTTACAAAGTTCTGCTGTTCAAGTCCTATAATTGCTGTGTGGAGAATACCAAGTAAGATATTATAAGCCAAATAAAATAAAAACATCTGCCCTTAAGATAAGGATAGTGCTGACAGATCAACTTCCAATTCATTGCAGGCAGCTGCTGCGTTAAAGATAAACAAAAGTTTAGATAAACAAACGTTAAAGTTTAGATAAACAAAGGATATGGCTTTATCCATTTTTTCCAGCAATTCCACTTTTTGTTCTGTGACTTTCGCTTTGTATATCCTTTACATATTAGTAAATATATATCGGAAATTCTATTTGACATAATCGAAAGTTCAAGTTTACTTTTATAAAATTGCTCTAACAGTCTGCAAAAAATAATAATCCCGATCCAATTCGAAGATTAAGGAAGAACGCAATCTGCAACATTAACTGAAATAGATAATTAGATAATTTTAGCTTAGCTTATCCCGTCCGTTGTAAACGTATTTTGCGCACGCGCACACGCAAATTCGCAGCGGTAAAGGTCTTACGCTCAAAGCTACAAACTTTCTGCGCATGCGTCAGAAAGTTTGTAGCTTTGAAAGTCCGGATTATAGATCATTCTGGATTATGGGTGTCCGAATTAACGACTTTTGACTATATTAAAGTTTTTCTGTTTTGGAAAAGATAATTTTCTTAGCAGTGTGTCTATACAAAGCAGATTCAATGACATTTACAAAGAATATTTAATGTCTTGCAAAAGATTTAAGAATTTAAAAACCCTTCTGGAAAAAAGAAATTTTATATTTAAACTGATAAGTGTGAAAATTTCATTTCCTAATGGACAAACGAGTTGTATAGCTCCCAAGCTCATAAGAATCTGTTAGTTATTTGTACTTAAAGTGGGTTTTGACTGTATGTTAATTTAGTTGCGACTAAAAAACTGCTGAGATCACATTGCTTAAGATGCACATAGTGGCTGTGGATGACTTTACAGCTGGTTCCATGGTAAGGAAGAAACATACGGACAAATTAAAAGGGTTCTGGTGTAGTCATTTCTTGAGCTGCATGGAGTCTTGAGAATAGTACCTTGTAAATGATGGGTGATAATCTGGTGTCCACCTTGCTTTGACTTGTATCTATTCTGCTGATTCAGCATCTGCAGTTTACACACACACAAATGAAAAAGGAAGAGGGAGAAATAAATTACTTAATCGTCACAAAATGCTTGTGATATGAGAAAGGGCTGTGAAAGTAAAATATAGCAGCTGTAATATGTGGTCTAGTAATAAGGGAAGGGTTTGAATCAATGTGTTTTTTAAACCGTTTAATTATTTTATAGTGGCTGAAATGTAGCAACAAATTTATGTATGTGATTGCTTTGTACTAGAATTAGCAATAAAATTGTAGATATGTAAAATATTATTTCAAATACATATTATAAGGATAAAATAACAGATAATAAAAAATAATAAAGTATTTGGTTTTTTTAAGCATAATTAGATGTTACAGCGATTTATTATTATTATTATTATTATTATTATTATTAGTACAAAGGGGCAATTTGCCCAGAAGGACTATTAATTTCGTTTTGGCATTTTGCATCGATTCACGATAAGTGTTGTTTCACTTTTCAAATTGTTGCCATCAAATATTATCGCTCTGCATTGTATTTAAAGAAATTAAATAATGGAGAATCTGCATTAGTGTATGTATGTTCCTCGCATTGTGATAAAACCACGGTAACTAGAGCCATCAAATTTTGAAGAACGTAATCCTCCTTCAAATATGGGCATCTGGAAGCTGAAATTTGGAATTTGTTTTATAATCCATTTCATATTTTGTAAAACTTTTAACGAATTTTTGATTAACAAACTCAAGGATTCTAAAGCGAGCAATGGTAACATTGTACAGAATTGTACATTTTTATGTCCAGTGCTTGAGACTTGCATCGGAAATTCTAAAAATATGCTCATTTTAAAATTATTTTGTGATACTTCTTTAAGTTTATGGTTTAAGTGCGAAGAACATGATATTTAATAAATAAAGCTAACACATAAAATATTGAAAAAGTGCCTCTTTAGACTTAAATTAAAATCTGAAACATTTCAGATTTTTTCCCTTTTTTTTCTTTTGTTTGTTTTAAATTTAATCCTAAAAATGTTACTTTCAGTTGTAGATAAGGAGAAGATAGAAACAAAGCAAATAGTGATTGGAATCGTTACTAGAATGGATCTGATCAGTTTCATCACAAATGAGGAAGATAGTCGAATGAAATCTGATTCTTCATCTCCACCTCCTACACATGATGGCACTGATGAAGAGGATGCAGTGCAATAGTGATTTTTTTTTCGTTCATAACAAAAACATTTAACTTCATTTTGTATTATATTTTTCACTTCTTTATATGCATTGTGATAGTTTTAAATATGGAAATTTTATAAGTTATTAAAATTTAAAGATATTTTTGTTGCCCTTGGTAAAGTAAACACAGTTTTAATATACAAACAATTTTTTGTGTGTAAAACAGTTAATTTACTTTACATAGTTACATTTCGATGTGGGGAAAGGGTGTTTTTGTGTATAATAGTTTTATTTATCATTTGGCTTCATAAGATATTGTATAGATTGCAAGCAAACCGTTGTAATATTATTGTCTGAAATAAATGTATATTCTCATAAATGCTTTCTATTTTATTTTTTTAACTTTTTGCGTTTATTTTACAAATGACATTACAGCTATATGCTAATTACATCTCCAACCAAGTTTTATGTCAGTTGATGCTTTCAAGAAATTTTTATTGGGTAGTTTTAATGGAAATAATTTTGAGATACAAATTTATGTAGTCTTTGTTTAAAATTCTGCTTTAAACATTTTTTTTAAAGGTTTGTGGCACACATTCTTATAAAAGGTATAACAATCGCATATTTTTCTGTCTAGCCTAAATGTTACAGCACAGAAAGTGTCAATTATAGCTTTTATTTTCTGTCTATAGTAATAACTACTTTTAGCAATATGTATAACTGGGATGTGATCACTATAGTAACTGACTCTATACGCAATGGCGGTCCTATGCCTGGGGCATAAATCTTCATGGGGCCCACCTTGTTAGAATAATCACCATATAAAATGTCAACATTAAGTTTTTAACAACTTCGTTTTCAGTGGAAAAGATTGCCAAACTGTTGAGTTTTTCTTGCTTCACTGGTGAGTGAAGATAGCTTTTATTCAACTTTAACTTAGCTTCTTTTGCAAGAAGCATCTGAAACTTGGGTACAGACATTCAGAAGTCCATTTCCACTGTAAACAAATAACATTTTCAATGCAGACTGTTTTTTAGCTTCATCCTTCCTAATTTTTGCTGCATGAAGATGATGTCTTAACCATTTAATTTGTGGTAAGATTTCATTTTCTTCTATTTCATCAAATGTTTCCATGAGGCCTGCAAAATCAACTTTGCAAATTCTTCAGTTTCTGTTTCAATAAGGTGTGATGACTGAACTGCTGCACATTGTTTATATATTTTGTTTATATATTTTTTGCATCGATTCTTTGAGTTGTAAGCTTTTTACAGAAAGTATTCATAGACTGAAGCATCTTTTTAATTCTTGTTTCAGTGTATTCATGTCTTGCTTCTTTTGGCACTATCTTCTTAAACCTTTTTTGTTTTAATTTCTCAGTGGGTATGTCATTTCTTTACAAGCTGTTGTGGAAAGAAAATATTATGCTTTTCAATCAGTTCATGTCGGCCATTAAAAAAAAAATTAAAGCAACTAATTTTTGTATGGTTTTATTTAAAGTATTTTTTTCAGTATTCATGTACACTGAAGGTATGGTTCACCTTCTCAAGAATGTTACAGCACAAATAAAGGAACCAAGTAAGTTGAAATCAAAAAAATTTTTAATCAAAACTTGAGATGAACCTCTTGCATCTACACTTTCTATTGGATCACACAACTTTTCTACAGCCTGCACCAATTTGTAAAAATGTTTCATCACAGATTTCATTGCATCATATTGCTCACTTCACTTGACTACCTCTTTATAGGCTTTTATACCCCCACAATCTCTGATAATGTATCCCACTTGTGGTTTAATAAAAAGAAGTTATAAATGCTTTCTAGTATTTTAGAAAATATTACACAAGTTGGAACACTTCAAATGCATGCACCCTGCATAAGTTAAGCGAGTGATTAGCACAAAGTGCCAATGAAGCTTTCTTCTTAACTTGCTGTATCCTGGCTTATACCCCAGAGTGAAAAGCTGACATAGTGGAAACCATTATCATAGCTTTGACTTATCATAGCTTTGCTTTGACACAGATTTACATTCAGTCCTTCTCCATAAATGACATTTAAAATTTCTTCTGTGATCTCAATAGCCAACCACTTTCCAGCAAGAGGAAAAAATCCCCAAAATGATTCTCCAATTTCTGCTTTTTCCCTTTCATTGTGAACATATTTAATGTGATGAAATATTAATATGTTCACAATGAAAATTAATATTAATTTTCATTGTGAACATATTAATATTTCTCAATCTGTTGTGGTGAGATACATCAGGTGTACTGTGAAACTTATTCCATAATATTTCTCATGTCTTCATTAATTCTTTGCTTCACAGTATCTTTCAAAAGACAAAAAACTCATTCTGAATTTTGCAGCCGAGGTACGAAATCACGTTTCTTGGTCTACCCTCCTAGATTCTCGCTAAATGCTCCTTTAAGAAATAGTCATTATGTGAAATTAGCTCAACTAAGTGTAAAACGTTTCCTCTGTTTTTTAAAAAAAATTATGCTGTTTGTGGCCTCAGAAAGATAAGTTTTGTCTTCCTAAAAACATGATATCCAATAAGCAATGCAAAATATCATTCCACTTTTTACTTCCTTTTACGAAGTAAATGAAAGTGCAAAGCAAATTAAACACTGGAATAGTAACTAATAATAAATAAATAAAATTAAAGTTGAGAAAATGAAGTACTACCGTAATTTCGCGCGTATAGTCCGCGGACTATCTGTGTTTAAAATGCGAATTTTTGAAGCTGCGGACTATCCACCAGTGCGGATAATACGCTGGTTGTTCACGGTTAAAATCGTTGAAATTTAAAAAAAACACGCTGTGTCGTGAACTGCCGATGATCAAATATAAAAAAAGCGCGAGATTCCAAGAAAACATTCGTATGTATCGTATATCGATAGTAAAGCATAGAGCATAGTGCAACGAATGAGTAGTAGCAAATAGGCTCTAAAAATCCAGGCTGGCGCTCAAGCGATGCCGGGATATGAGCCAAAGAAAGTCTTGTATGAGCACTTACTTAGCGCAACCAGAGTCTTGTATCCCAGTGTCCTTCGCACTGCTTTAGTGCAACTGCCGTGAGGGGGGGAAAGTAGTTGATGCGTCAGCTCGGTTTTAAGGAGCCTTAGTAGCAAGTACCTTGGAAGTATGAAAAAAAAAAAAGCGTGATTCGTTTACTTATAAGGGTGGTTCGGCAACACCGAGTGAGTGGGGTCGAAGGTCACATTTCATTACCACTTATCATGAGTAAAGCACGTTGCACAGTATTTTGTTTTCGTATTTTGTCTTTCATCTTCGATAACGTTGAATGAAACATTGCCGGAGTTTTACTGCTGAGTTTAAACTCAAGGTAGTTGAGAAAGCTGAGAAAGATGGAAATAGAGAAGTGGGCCGTTATTGGTTTAATCCTAGTATTCGGTGCACACGGGATTTGGCTACTTTTGGCGACTTTATGATGAGCAGTGAAAACGGGACATATACGATGAGTAATTAACGGGTCATTCAAAGAAAATATATAGTTAAACATAGTATATACTATAGTATATATACATAGACTATGTGTATACTATATATATAGGCGTTCTTTGGATCATTTTTGGTGTTGGCGAAAATTTTCAAAGTCGCGCCAAGGTTGCACCGTATACTAGGATTTTACCCCGTTATTTTGAAGTGGACGAGAAAGCGGTGAGAAATTGGCGCAAACAAAAGGATGTGTTTAAAAAGCATGGGGATATTGCTGTATTAAAAAAACGTAATTTCGAACGTATAGTCCGCGGACTATCTGACGATTTTTGAAATTTTTTTTATATAAAATCGTGTCTGCGGACTATACGTGCGAAATTACGGTAAATATAATTATGTACATAATCAGGAGTACATTTTGAATCCATAGGACGTGGGAGAAAAATTCAGAGACATGAATCAGCATGCTGAACGAGGCTCATGTTTTGAGTCAGAACTTCATAGATTTGAATTGTTAAAAATTAATTTTAGAGGTATGGATTCAGAAAAAATATAATTCACTGATAAGTGATGCAAAAGTGACCTTTATGAGCGGGAGATGAAATATAAAAAATGCCGCCATATAGGTTCGAACCATTTATGCTAATATCTACAGTAACGAACGCTATCAGCTGCACTGACCTTTACATAGCAACAAATGGGATTAAATTGAAGATATCTAAAATGAAGAAGGAAATGTTTCTACATTTAAAAATTGTGCACAAAAGATCATAATGTGAAGAAACATTAATATATGTAGATCTAACATGTTGAATAGATGTGCTACTTACATTACAGAGAAAGTAATCTTCTGGAATAATTTCATAATTTAAGATTTCAGCAAAGTCTACAGCATAATTTGTTTGGGCATTATGATAAAAATTTTCGGTTAGCGTTATTGAGATAGTCCCTAACATAATCAATCTTTACGTCTTTATGCAGATTCTTGTTTCTGTGAAACTAAAAGGTTTTGGTAACAAGATGAAGAAATTTATTTTGAAAAATTTGTAGTTTGTTAATTTTCTTCTCTCCTTTCCACTGTCTCTAGTCACCAATCTCATGCTACATCACCAATAGTGTACAGCAGACGGCAGCCAGTAAAGCCAGCGATGCTAAAGCGAGACTCAGCTCTGTCCTCTTGGAATACTGTGCTTGCTTATACGTTTCAGATATAGCTCAGTTAAGTGAAAGTTTCTCTGTTATTTTATTTTTGGTGAATATTGATCATGGAAAAAGCAGAACAATATTATATAATGAGTATTTTACACACATAAAAGCATAAAGAATGCATTTTACCATTTTCCCATTAAATGCATCAAGATGGCAAAACTAAATGTATTTTTTAAGACATCTCTACAAAAAAAAAAAAAAAAAAAAAAAGGAGGGGTTAGAGTTCATTTCTGCAGCAATACACATATTCTGTTGGGGTGGTATTCTTATGATAGACAGGCATTCCTTCATTCAAACCTCACCTACAATATTTTAGATGAGTCAGTACCTCATTTTGTTCAGTCAGTAGCAATAATACCATAAAATGACGAATAGCTAATCTGATATTTCAGATTTTGGTATGCTAGAGCCCTGAAGTTTTCTCATTTGCATTATGTTGTCTTATTTTAACCGATGTCTTCGAACAAAAAATACACATATGAAAAAGCAATAAGTTTTATAAAGACATCAACTACATGAAGTAATTGTGATGAAGATAAAGAACATAATTATTTTGTTGAGAATTATGAAAATATGTACATGACTGAGATACAGAAAAAAAAGCAATTAATCACAATGCTCCAAAACAGTCTTGTCTGACGGTAACTTGACTAATGGATAGTAAAAAAGGCAGTTTCTAATTAGGTGAAAGGAAAGGACCCCCCCCCAAAAAAAAAG